GTTTTTATCCAATTCTTTACATTTCTTTTGAGGAAATAGAAGCAATGTTTATAATAGTTTAAAAAGGGAAAAAGTTTAATTGCCCCACAGATCAGAATGATGAAATTAATCATGGTACCTTCTTGAGATTGAGTTCTCTGCAGTCATTAAAGATCATATTGTAGCCCAACTGGCATGGCTCAGTGGTGGAGCATTGACCTATGAACCAGGAGATCATGGTTCAATTCCCGGTCAGGGCACATGCCCGGGCTGCAGGCTTGATCCCTAGTGGTGGGCGTGCAGGAAGCAGCCAATCAATGATTCTCATCATTGATATTTCTCTTCCTCTCTGAAATCAATAAAAATATATTAAAAAATCATATTGCATAATAATATTTAATGGCATGGGAAATGCCATCTAATGAGTGCGTGTGTGGGGCAGCCTATAAAGCAGTATGGTTTCAATTTGGTAATGCTACGTTCTCCATCCAGACCAGCGGGGCTGCCCTCCTGAAATTGTAGTCATTCCTACCCCCCACCCCACAGGCACTTCCAATGGCCTCACCCTGCTTGGCCACTTACCGCTCCATACTTACCACTTTCTAACATACTATACAATTTACTTGTTCATGTTATTGCTTATTGTTTTTCTTTCCTGATAGAATATAAGTTGCAGGAGGCCAGTTTTTTTTTTTTTTTTTGGTCTATTTTTCTCACGGACGTATCCAAAAAGCTTAGAAAAGTGTCTGGTCTGGCACATGGTAGATCCTAATTAATACTGCAATTGTTGAATAAATGTTGAAGGAAATGTGGTTGGATTATAATATAGGTGATTGTTAAATTTTTTTCTTTTTCCTTTTCTGAATTTTAAGTATTTTTTAAATAGTAAACACAGATTGCCTCTATAATGAGAGGGGGAAAATCTTTAAAAAGATATTGTTACATATGAATTCCTCTTATAGCCCTGACTAGTTTACCTGGGGAAATGGCTGAAGGGACGATTGGAGGGGGCAGAACCAAAGATTCCCGTTGTGTGCAGAGATCGTTGTCGAGCCGATCTGGGACCTGGGTTCTGCTCTGCCCGTGGCTGTCCGCTGGGCTTTGTGCCATTTCTCCTGCTGCGCCCCAGGCTTGTGGCCGCCTGCGTGTCTTGCTCCTGCATCCTCCTTCCTATTTTTCCACTGGTTCCCATTTTGTGTTTTCTTCCACTGCCAGCTTCAGTCATGCTTTGTTTCTGTGGCCTCTGTGACTCCTCTGGCCACATTGTCCTTGGGGTGCCCACAGCACAGGCAGAGTGTGTCCCACACACCAGGCTCCAGGAGGCCCCGCCTGGCATTGCTAGTTCCCGGCTCTCACAGCGGGCCTCAGGGGAGCCACGTTTGCAATGGACATTACCCAAAGGGGCTAACGCTACCTTTGCTGGGAGCCAAGTGGAATCTATTTTAAGACAGAAACCATAGAAATACTTGAAGCACATATGCTCCACTTGCCTCACGTGTTATCTTTTCTCTGCAAGTCAGTGACAAGCTGCTTGAGAATAAGATTTCTCTTTTCCACTTTTCCTGTCTTCAGCAGCACATAAACAGTTCTGGTCTCCAAGTTGATGTCATATACTTGATGGTTGGCCCTTGGTTTCCCATATATGAGATAAATGTTTCTGACCCTCCAAGGGATGGCGTAGAATAATACAGGGGCAGGGATTCGAGCGTCTTAGAAGGCATTATATATGTATGCACATCAATATTTAATGACATTTTGGTATTAATAATTTAAAAAGCTAATAAGCTAAAGTGAAATATTCAGGATATAACTTGGCTAGAGTAACCTTCTGCTGTTCAAATTGTACAATTTCTATTCAGGGAATACAGATTGAATTTTTGGAAGCAATTAGACAACAGATTATTCGATTAGGTAAATGTTGATTGCGATTCTGCTGCTTACAAGGGACTGCAGCAGGCGCTGAAGGGTCTGTGGAGGTCAGGGAGAGATTACATGTGATCTGGGGCAGGGGGACGTGCATGCGGTGGGGCACACGGTGGTGAGCCCAGAATGATGAACTTTGTCAGGTGGGAGGTTGTGGACATGGGGAAATAAAGGATTCCAGGGAGAGGTAACAAAATCAAAGGGGTAGGGGGAGAATATTTGGAAGAGTAGCCAGTTATTCCTGGGCAGGACCATGGGGAACATGCAGGTGAGGGGCGTGGGAGAGGAAGGCAGCAGGTGGATTTGGGCAGCGTGGGAACCTTCGTGCTGCAGTGAGAAGCTCTGTTATCGGCCCCAAGCCTTTGGTTATTTTACACTAGAAATGGCTTTTGAGAGAAAAGGCGTACAGTTTTTACATGGTTTGATAAACAGAAGAGTGACCATATGGTATGATAGTGCCTTTCATCTCATACTGAAATTAATTAAGCGAGGACACATAAAATCAAAGAGAAAATTGTTTGCTTCCAGAAACAGGTTTTTTTGTTCTTTTTTTTTCCCCCCTCTCTGTGGTTGCATAGCTACTGGATTGGATTAGAGCTTACATTGGCAAATTGATTCAAACTACTGCTGGGGAAATGAAGGTAAATTTCACTTACTTAAATTATTTTCTCAAAGCCATATAGCAAATTATTGAAATATTTTTGAATGGAATCCATGTGTCTGGGCTCTAAGAAGCCTGCTAAGAAACCTTGTGATTTTCAGGATGTTATCAATGTGACTGATGCCATGTACATGCAGGGAGTGCTCTGACACAGTGCTGGTTCTGTCTTCCGCGTTGTGCAGAATGTGTTTCAGTCAATAGTTATCTAGAGCACATTTTAAAAAATGTGTTTTGGGGAGGACTCCAAACCAAGATTGCTGGAAATTCATAAATTATTTTTCAGAGAATTTCAAAAGGTCTCACAAGTATGTTTTCCTAATCCTATGTGATTTATACCATTTTCTTATTTAAAATAGATGAGCAGTTTAGAAGTATATAACTGAAAATCTTTAGGCTTAAGTTTACTCACAAAGTAATTGATCAGTGACTTAATTTTTTTTTATGACTAAAAAATTCAACTTGTTTCTTGTTTAGTTTTTAAATTCTGAAATATATTCAAAGAAAGCCAGCTGACTCAGAAGTGCAAAGTTTGTCTATTTTTGTAAAATTTTGTGTGTATATGTATGTATATGTGTATGTGAGTATATGTGTGTATGTGTGTATGTATGTATGTGGTATGTGTATATATGTGTGTATGGTGTGTGTACATGGTGTGTGTGTGTATTGGTGTATGTGTGTATATGGTGTGTGCATGTAAATGTATGTGTGAGTGTATTTGTGTATGAATGTATGAATATGTGTGTATGCATATGTATCTGTGTGTATTGAAGCGTATGCGTGTTTGTATGTAAATGTATGTGTGAATGTGTATGTGTGTGTATGGTGTGTATATGTAAATGTGTATGTGTGTGTATAAGTGTATGTGTGATTGTATGTGTGTATGTATTTATGAATGTGTGAATGTATATGTGTGTATGGTGTGTGTGTACTAGTATGTGTGTATTGTGTGTATGTATGTATAAATGTATGTGTGAGTGAATGTGTGTATGTATGTGTGAATGGTTGTATGTGTGTGTAAGCATGTGTGAGTGTATGTGTGTGTATGTGTGTAAGTGTGTGTGAGTGTATGTGTGTATGCATGTGGTGTGTATGTATGTGTGAATGTTTGTATGTGTGTGTAAGTGTGTGTGAGTGTATGTGTGTATGCATGTGTGTGTGTGTATGAGAGAGAGAGAGAGAGGGAGAAAGAGAGAGAGAGAGGGCTGGGACTTTGTTAATGGAGAAACAAGCTGAGGAGCATCTGGTCCTACACTGTGTCCCTGAGTGGATGCCAGGATGAGGTGGGGTTACAGGAATGGAGGAAGGGACAGTCATGATTACTTTACATAATTTAAGAAGAAATGGTGAGAGGATGTGCGATTTTACCTTTCCATTTTGCATTTTTGAAAGAAAAGTAGAAAACATACTTATCAAAACTATTTTTCATAATGTAGATTATTACTATGTTTTTCTTTTTGGAGCCAATTTTTCTCTCCCCCCCGGGGAGTTAAAGTCCACAATATGTGCTGCTGGTTTTCACTTTCTTAATTCATTTCCAGTTTCTCTTAATATCTGAGTTTTTACAGTTTTGTTCAACTTTACTATCCTCATTTTCAGAGGAGTTATAACCTGTACTTCAATTATGTTTCCTTTTAAAATATTAAAGTTCAAGAAAATTCCAAGATCATTCATGGCGTTTGATACTTTTTTCATATGCTTTATCAAATTTTTGAATTCTTACCAATATTTACTACTTTTATAATGAAAATGTGTGGATGGTATAATCTTACATTCCAGTCTCTGTGGTGTAATTTATAGTGATTTATGGCCTACGGTTTTCACATTCTCCCTCACAGAGCAGCAAATGACCTTCTTGGCGTTTTTGAAAGTGCCCCTCATTTAGGGAGAGATGTTAAGTTTTGAATTGCAAATACCGTTTCCTCACTGTCATTGTGTGGTCATGTTTGGTTTATGATCTTGACCTGTCCATATGCTAGTTGTGTTTTGTTAAAAGGGGGTGCCATGGTACGGACCCATCTCTTTCATTGTTATATGGAGTAATACTTAAGTCACTTCACACTTTAAGTGCTCAGGCAGAGTAGAAATTATGTCTTTTAAGAAAAAAATAGAAATTATGTCTTTTGAGGAGAAGATGTTAATACACGACATGAAGTAGAATAGGAAGAAGTAAGAGATGGGGATTTCTTCATAGGGTCTCGGGCCAGCTACTGGACTTCTCTGGGCCTCCGTTCACTCAGCTGTAAATTGAAGGCAGCAGACTGGATGCTTTTCATTTCCCTACCTCACTGGCACTTTGTGTCTGACTGCAGAAGGCCAGGACGTGGGCTTTGGCGCTACGGGAAGAACACTGGTAGAATATCTGTTCCTTTTTCTCCAGCACGTGGATCGAGGCTCCGTGAGCTTTAGCAGAGCGTACAACACCCTCCTTTTACTTAACATTTCACACACTGAAAGGAAGGGTCTTGAAAGTTACTTGGACTTAATCTCGACAGGCAATTGGGAATGATTTCAAAAGGATGAAAATGACCTAAACCTGAACTGCCAAGTGAAGGCTGTCATGAAGAAAATGTAAAAAATGAGGACAGTCTGATTGGAAAGATGAAAGATGAAGCTAAATCTGGAACATGATCAATGCTGGTGAGAGGAATGGGGGCCCTTGACTCCATCCAGGGAGATGAGACCAAGAGGTTACCTCTTGGAAGTTGAAATCATTTTAAGTGAGTAGAGGATATACTCTTTTTTTTTTTAATATGTAATATATGAGGTTTTAATTTAACATTTTAGGAATCTTGATATTTTTATGAGAAATATAATATCTAATACATTCTTCAGTTGATTTGTGGAACATATATATTTCCATTTAATATAAGATTATATAGTACATATATACTTAGTTCACATTTGTTTTTTATCACATCTCACATCCCATGCTTTACTAAACGTCTCTCTTTTTTAAAAAATTTGTTTTATTGCTTAAAGTATTACAAAGAGTATTACATATGTCTCTTTTCCCCCC